AAAAGGGTTAAATAAAATTTGTGATGGCAGATTTATCATGTAATGTTAATTTTTTTATGTTGCTGAAATAGGTGGACAGCCTCACAAAAGGAGAAAGACCTCTGATGGAAATGAAACTGAAGACCATTTGGAATCTTTAATATGCAAAGTAGGAGAAAAGGTATGCAGTGCATTAGGCACAGATTGTGATTAGTTTAGGCTTGTGGTTGACTGGGTTTTGAGTAATTTTTGCAGCTAAAAACTTGACGATCTAAGTTTTAGGCAAAGCTTGTGTTACCATGCATTTGTATCCCAGAGTGAATGCATGTTGAAACCCCTGGAAGGCAGATAATTGACAGTTTTTAGTAATTAGTAATTTTCATAGAAGACGAGCCTTAGAAGGGACCTAGGGAATAGTCCTCTCAATTTATGAGTGAATTAAAGCAGACCTGGATACTGGAGGTAATTTGCCCAGAGTCAGTCATTGAATTAGTTAAGAGAGATGGAATAGAACCCATGGTGTCCTCCTATTTCTAATATTCTGCTATCTTAGACTGCTTACTTTTTGAATTCCATTCATTGTCTTTTCATGGATTTCTAAAGAACAGTAGCTATCTGAATTAATTTGTGTTAAACCTGTCATAGCTCCTTATACATATGTAAGGCTTCAGCTTCTTTATGATTGTCTAGAAAATTTTATTTTATTTAGTTCACTAATTGCTGAGTACTTGACAAGTATTTAATTTGATGTCCTCTACAGAGTGCCTGCTCTTTGGAGAGCAATCTAGAAGGCTTGGCTGGTGTTTTAGAAGCCGATCTTCCTAACTACAAGAGCAAGATCTTAAGGCTTCTTTGTACAGTGTATGTATGCAAAAGATTTATGAATCCAGGTGATAATGTATTATCTACTCTTAAACGCTTTGGGAAATGTTCAAAAGATGTGTTCCATATGTCATTGCCTTTCCTTCTATCCAGGGCGTCTATACAAATGAAATGAGCTTTGGCCCTTTGGTAAACTCTTTTTCTTGGGGA